TATATATATATATATATATATATATATATATATGCATATATATATATATATATATATATATATATATATATATATATATATGTATATATGTATGTATGTATGTGTGTGTGTGTGCCTAGCACTAAGTGCAATAATATCCTCATTATCATCCTCATCGTTACTGAATGATACATCATACAATGCAGCATCAAATTTGAACTTTCCATTTTCTAATTCAAAACTAATTGTAGATTCAACTTTAACATGTAAACACGGATCTTAAAGCAAAATAAGTATAAGATACAATTATCGAAACAAAACTGGCATCACATTTATGTACGTAAACTATTGGTTGGCAGAGCCTTTTCCAAAAACAGTCCATGATAAAAATCGCCATGCAGAAAATACCAACAGGAAAAACGTGATTACAATGTGTAAAAATTGCTTCTAACTACAAAGCCTCAGGAACATCTCAGTGACTGACAGAGTTTATAAAATCTATCAAGCAATCCATATCTTGATATATTTCAGGAGTCTAATACTGGGAGTACTTGTAGTATCTTGTGGATTATAAGAGACGAGTTTTCCTTACACAAAATCCAGTGTTCCTTCAAGTAACTGTTTATCTTATCTAGCTTAGCATTGATAGGCCTATAATAGTTTCTAATTCATGGCATCATTCTAAATAGTAATTCCATAATTGTTCTATATAGGCCTAATACTGCCCTGACTTTATATTTATCTTTATTGAAGTTCTTTAAAATCAGTGAACTAAATGAAGTGCTATGGCAGTTCTTATTATGCACACTACAATAGATTCCTGCAAGAAATATTTATAACGAATACTACTCAGGAGTCTAATACTGTAAGTATCATTTGTACAGAAACGGGATACACTAAGTAGAAAATTGATGGTAAAACTAAGACCGCCGCACTATATAAAACGAGGAAAGTACCATAGGGTTATAGACTAGTGTTCATAGAAGTCGGCCGAGTTAATAAAACTGTGGGGACGCCACTGATTGTGGTGTAATTTAAGTTCAAAGATTCATCTCCGAGAAAAAACAGTACACAAACCTCATTATCTCGAACCGTCTTGAATGTAAACAACACCTTGAGCTCTCTTTAAAGTTCATAGATGGCGGTGCGTTTCCCAGTAAATTTGTATCAAGTTTAGATAACAGTTAATAATAATACCATTTTTTGTAGCCAATATTATATATATATATATATATATATATATATATATATATATATATATATATATATATATATAACGGTCAACATCACGTATTTATCGTTACTGATTCTACCGCCTTTTTTGAGAGTACGCTTGTCATTTCGGCCCCAATGGCCCTGGTGATAGCAAGTGAAAATGACATAGTGTGCCAGCTGCGACCATGGGTACGGTGATTTGCCATTGAAATTCATTAGAAATATTGGAAACATTTTGGATCATTTATGTGTCTATGGTTTTATATTGAAGACATTTAAATGCCCTAATTGCTGCAATGAGAGTAACGGAAACACGGCGATTATTTGGCGGTTAGTATTTTAGTTATTGAATTACTAAGAGAACCGTTGCTTGTAAAAACTTGTTAATTCTATTGCATAATATGTATATATATGTATATATATGTATATATATATATATATATATATATATATATATATATATATATATATGTATATATATGTATATATATGTATATATATGTATATATATATATATATATATATATATATATATATATATATATATATATATATATATATATGTATGTATGTATATATGTTTCGAGTGATGTAGAACCTAGAATAAAAAGTAAGCGACAGCTTGTACGTGATCTAATATCAATTTGTTTTTGAAGTCCTGTATAATTGTAATATTATTGTTAGACACCATATGAAATTTACACCTGCGTATAGAAACTTGACAGCAATAATGTACGATATTGGCGCTGTTGCCACGGCGATGCTACATCTCTTGAAAGTTAAGTAATGTATGTCCATTAATAGATAGATAGTCTGTTGTCCTTCCTGAGTAGAGAACATATGTTCCGAGACACGGCCAACTGACCACGTTCCAAAAACTCGGTGCTTTTGAAGTTCGGTCCTGTGCATGTATAACCAAGGTCTATATAAGTATTTATATAGACCTTGTGCATTAAGTAGTCCTTTTGGAATAAGTAAAGGAATTTATTTTGCAGATCCCAAGCATGATGGAAAATTGTCACAGGCAGGATTTGTTTAGGAAGACCTGCAAGCAACTACAAGAAATGTTTAGACATTCTGAGGCCGGGTTGTATAAGACCCACATCACGCCTGAGACAGTCAACAGCCCAAAACATATCCGATAAGTTTTCTCTTGAAGCCTTAGACGTGTTGTGTACCAATTACGTATACTACGAAAAGATTTCATCATATTAGTTAGTCTATAAATATATGAAGTATGTTCTATACTGAATAGGCCTATTCCTTTTACAGAGATTTCAGTTTTGGCAGACGATGTATAGATATTCCGTGGTATAACTGTGTGGTGTTGTGAACACCATGATTGCTAACACCATCATCGATGCTGGTACTACCGAATGCCGTCCCAACACCTCCATCTTGTGATAGCAACTCCACATTCAAGACGCTCAGATTCTGTTAATACGAACATCTTTATTAAGATTTCTAAATACACATTTAGATATCTATATATGTTTATATTTAGATGTGTCAAGATAGTTTGAATATTTTCATTTCTTTATTTTATGAAAATCAGAGTCAAATCTTTCAGATATATCAATCAATTACATTAACAAACCTTTCCAGAGTGCATAGATCATATCTACATGCCAGAATTCTCAGCTGAGTCGGAAGAAAACTCAACCAGCATCTGAGCACCAAAAGGTCAGTCTTGTTCTGTTATGTTATTTATGTATTTGAAAACACGTATTGATAATTTTCATAAAAGATTATAGTAACAAAAACATCATTAATTATTATTCAGAAATGCTATGTAAGATATAAGATATAAGAGCCTACATTAATCTTTTTACATATAACATACACTGATGTACACCGATTGATGGCTGCAAATATTTTATTCTTATTTTCAGAGACGGTACATTTGCGCTCCAGGAATACCCATGGCAAGTTTGAAAGTACAAGTAAAGGATAGAACGGTTAAAACCAAAATGCAAATTAGAAACTCCTCGGTGATCAGGAAATGTGATCATTAGAAGCTGTTGCATTTTTGAGGGACTGGAAAAAAATACGATAGACAAGAGTAATTGTGTCTGTTTAATGAAATCTGGATTAAATTATTTTAAATATCAGAAAGGCGATAGCATCGGTGTAAAAGATCGTGGACTTGTGAATATTCTACACCTGCATAAGTACTTCGTTTTATGATGGAGCTGAAGAAGTGAATGCAAACAAGTGTTAGGTTACATATCAAAATTAAAATAAGATAGGAATTTCTACACGCATAGTGTAAAAAAAAAAAACATTCTAAAGTGACTAATTTGGTGTGCAATGAGATGTTACCAATGAGTGAACAGGAAATCGGTAAAACAGTCAGGTATGTCTGTACATAATCCATTTTAAACCTAGCAAGGGATAAGTGGTTAAATGTATGATGCTTTACACCTCGAAGACAGTTCGCAACAACTCCACTTGTTATATTAGAGTCGGTGACAAATTGTGCACGGAGGGACTTAATTTCGCAAGTTTTTTTGAGAGAAAGTTAGTCATAATCGCCCCCTCTCTAAAGAAGTGCCATGATCAGAGATGTGTGTGAATTTGGCTGCATAACCATGAAATAGATCAGTTACTGCATCTTACTGTGAAAGTTGCATTAGACGATTGGAGAATTCTGCAATAGATACAACTGAATTTGTGTCAGAAGAGAATCACAAATATAACCTCTTTGATAATGCAGCACTATGCCAAGATATGTTTGTAGTTCACCAGATCAAGACTTTTTTTAAGTAATCGGCTTTCTAGACCTGTATGTGAAAGTTTGTGAATACGAAAGCTAAAATACACTGCCATGAAGTGCAATACTTGAATATAAACAGATCGCTTAGAATGTGTGAAATTTTAGAAATTATTTACGATTTAAGGTTCCTTAAACGGCCTTGAAAACCTTGTGTGTGTTCTGCACTTTAATCGCGGAGACAACAAGGATTATCCCTGTAAAAAAAAACCTATTCAGCGGCATTTCTATCTGCCATGTATGATAATCTTGTAAGCTAACTGCACTGACAATCGTGAGAGCCTTTTACTTGGTGCCAAAATCATAAATGAATCAAGCCCCAGGGTTGTTGAGAAATATCCAGGTATTGGTTGTTTATTAGAAGTTAATTGTAATGAGGCTAATGACCCTTAGAAAATAGCTGAATCAGCTAGTGTTTTCACAAAAAATATATAGTTCACAAGTTTGGAGGGCACATTGATACGATAGTTAAATTAAGAATTAACCTATTAAAGTTTCCATCCGTTTCTTACTAGTAAGTATCCTGTGGTGTCTTATGATAAATTGAAAGCATTTAGCAGCTTATGTGTAACATAAACTGCCAACATCAGAGACTCTTCAGTACCGTAAATTTATAGAAAGGAACTCTGAACAGGTATTGCTAAAAATATTCCACATGCCCCCCCCTCTCCCCCATCCCTTGCTCGTTGTTGTCATGGGGGCTTAGGAGACGGAGACTGAGGCTCTATGTACGGGATCACCCCTGCTTTTTGCATGGTCTTATATTCTCCCCCTTTCCTTTTCCTTCTCTTCTTTATCCCCTTCTTCTGTCCACTCATCCTAATCGTTTACCCATTTTACCCTTTTCGTCACAATACTTTATCACGATGCTATGACCTTTGATGTTTTGTCCATCAATCATTCTGGAAATCCACAAACATCTCCTTATGAACAAAAACTTCCTTACCCGGGGACTTCGCTCCTACGCCCCACCCTATCGCTGTATTTTGAATACGCCGCTTATAATCTTAGCTGTTGATGCGGCAGAAAATGTTTAATAAACGAATAAATATCCCACATGCTAAAAGCAATGGCATAGTCAGACAATGTGATGCCCTATGATGCGGGATGACGTCGTCGCTCCGTACGCGCTGAGGATGCCCTGAGGATACCCTGTGATGCGGGATGACGTCGCCGCCCCGGACGTGCTGAGGTGGTTTCGTGCTCCTACGAACTTACGCCGGAACAATATAATGTTTTATGTGGCACCTAAACCCCCAATGATTTAGAACAGTGTCCCTTACCTGTGGTTCTTTTATACCTATGTAGCTAACTAATCAGAAATGCTAGTAAGAAGAGCCTATAACAATTCGCTTACTCATTTTACGCTGCAACGGAACGAGCTTGTCTGGTGTTGGGGGATGCGTCCTATTTTTATCAGATAAGTATAAACATTAAGGGTGAAGCATCACGTAGGCATTGCAACTCATATACATTCAAGGTGCCTTGTAAAGATGTATCCGTCTATTAAAGGTTTTAATTAAGTGAAAGATGTACCTGTCTCTTAGAACGACCTTCATATCAACAACATA